TAATTCTGAAAAGATGTTACTCTCAGCCTTTCAGAAGCTTTCGCTTTAATCATGAGATACAGTCTTATACACAAAACTGAAATAATAATAATTAAAAAAATCACTATACAAATGGTACATAAACTTGTTTCAGCAGAGGGTTTTTCTGATCTTTGAACAGAAGTTTAAGTGAAATTGCCTTGATTTTTACCTTTAAAAACTGCTTAATCTATTAGTTTGAATTACATTCTTCCAGATCCTGCATTATATATCTCTGGGAAACACTAAACAGAAGAAGGGTTCCACATTGGAAGGAGTTTTTAATTCATGCAACTAGAGAATTTGGGCTGAGGAGACCAAGGACGCTTAAAAAGTGCATCTATCGTCATAAATCATGGCTGATAGGAACTTCTGAAAATCACTCCTCAAAACAATTTCTTTTACTTTGATTCTACTAACAGTAAAAGGATTTTTTTCCTTGCAATTATGAATCTGCAGTAATGGCACTTTACTCTTCAGACAATTTTATGAGGTTATTTGAGAATACAATTGAAATAAGCAAATTTAATTCATCTGGTGCACTGTGTGCCCTCTTAATCATGGATCTGATTGTGCATCTAATAAGATCAGTGGAATCTTTTACATTGATTTTGTGGTTAAGAAAACTGGGACTATTGTACATTAAAGTGAAGTAAGTCTTTCAATTAATTTCATTCCAAGCTGTTTATGAATATTTAGGAAGACCACAGGTACAAAGTTTTTAACAAGGTTGAATGGTATTTGTCTGTAAAATAGGTGAAAGGTTTGATGTTAAAGACATTTCCAATAGAGAAAATAATATTTACTAAAACCATACACCACAAAATACAGGACGCAGGTGTCATCTCTTTATTCCAAAGTTGAAATATTATGTTTATATTAACAGTGTCTGACAAAATAAACATTCGTTTTTCTTCTTATTCAAGAAATACTATAAATGAGTAAATCAGTGATGACATAATTCAATATACTTTTAATTATTGGTTTTTTGCATATATTTTCCAAGGCAAGCACTGCAAAGTGTCCATTGTTCTTACCTCTGCAAAAAGAGTATCTAGAGAAACGTGCCTTGCAAAGTAAGGGCCTTCGTAAAAACAGCGTCCAGGTAGCCCAGAATGAATGTAACCTCTAACTAATACGCTATACTTAATATTCATGCCCTCCTTCACAGCTGTGTTGATAACAGAATAAGGTTGGTCTGTTGCCAAAACTCATCAACAATTTGAATATGGTATTTCAGCAATTTCAGGCAAAAGAGAGAAACTTTACTTACCACTGAAAACTAACTTTAAACCTGATTTTAAAACTAAATAAGTCAGTTAAATGACAAGCTTAAATGACAAGCTTAATTGAGGCCCAATAAAATTGGCTGAAATACACTGTTATTTTGTATACTTTTTTATATTTAGATTAAAACATTAAATGCCCTTGTAGTGCAGTTCTGCTCTTTAAGCTACTTCATAAACACAACTTAATAAACTCAACTTCTCTTCACCATTAACCAGGTTTGTATTAAATTTACCTTGTACCAGCCCCAACTTCAGAAGGAAACCTGCATAGACATACTGCTTACAAGGATGCCATTAAAACAGAAGTCTGGTGAAACAGAGTTATTTAGGTATGTACATGCTTGCCTATAGAGCCCTCAGCTGAATGTATGCTTCCAGGCTGTTTATACTGAAGCTCCATGAATGAAAAAGTCCAATTATGATTTTTTTTTTTTTGAAAAAAACTGATCCATAAAAACAGGCTTTAACATTTCTCCTTCATGCAGATTGTTTTGCAGTTTGCTATTTCTGATTTTTTTTTCTTTCTTCCTATTTCCTGGTTTTCAATGTTATTTCTTTTTTTAAGTATCTGAATCTGTACCAGCATAGTTTTCATATTCCAGAACAATACAACTGTTAAGACTCAACTGCTGAGAAAATATTGGCTGAAAAAATTAAGTAATAGCTGTTCTTGATTTCTTATCTTACTCTCCCAGTTGTCTCTTTACTTTTAAAACATCTGTTTCATTTGTCCAGTTTGTTACTAGCTATTTTTATGTCCAGTTTCTTAGCTGCCAGCACATTGTGCTGATGCATATATACAGCAAGAATATATTTTCTTTTGGCGGTGGGGAGGGGGAATCCATGTCCACAAGCATTCCTTAAATTAATGTAAACATTTATGTCACTGTTATATTAAGTCAATTACAGGAATTGACAAATTCCAATATAATTTCATACTGCACAGAGAAAAAGTGTGTTACATTTTTTGCCAAACAGCTATTTTACTTTCCTTTATTAGGCACTAGGATCTTCCCCATCCAATCTTGTTTGTATTGAGGCTTATTGAGTATTTTTCATGGCTCAATTCAAAACTGTGAAGACAATCTCAAAATGGATTAATCATATTTCTAAAATACTGACATTTGTACAATACAAGCATGGCTGTTTGTGCACACAATGTAAATGTATCCGTATATTCATAGACAATGGATTTTGCTTGTTCCTTTCTCACTACTTTTCTTTTGACGGCAAGCCAAAAAAATGCAAGTTTTTACTCAAATCAGTCATGGGTATTATAATCAATGGTAAAAATATCGATTTTGGTTTTTAGCTGCAATATTCATATGAAACACATTTGCAAAACTAACCTGTGATCTAAAATGCAAAATAAATCAGCCAAGTCTGACAAGACAATCAGACACTGCATCCTGAATTACTCTATCTGAATTTGAATTACAGTATGGCCAGCCCATTTAGGCCGTTAATACCAAAGATGCTGATTTCTTAATAGTGCCATAAAACACAACACACGTACAAAAAAGCACATTAATTGAAGCTCGGTTACAGAACTGTGCTAATACTAATAACACTGCCTGCCACATTTTTGCCATTTCATCCCACAAGGGTGGGAACTAAACCAACCGAGTACCCCAAATTTTATATGGTTAATCTGAAATTGAAGGCAAGCATCCCTTGCACTAATTAAAATGGGGGGGAGAGGAGGGAGGAAAATATCCTGATGATCTGATTCTACAATCCCACTTGTTCTCCCAGAGGAAGAGAGCAGCATCTAGGAACTCTGCAGTGTTTTTTACCTCCCCCCAGATTCAGAGAGTGCCCTATGCCACAACAACTGCCTAAATTGCTATGAATTCCTAGAAGAAACACTTCTCTCATAAAAACAACCCATACAATTTAATGAAAAAATTGAAATTCATTATCTGAAAGGAGTCGAGGCTCTGCAAGGCAACACCAGGCTCCTGATTTTTTCCCCTGTACTTCTCCCGAGGGGAGAAGGCACGAACACTTCCAGTGAAAGCCCACGAGACTGACGCCGGGCTTCCTCTAGGGCTGGGAATAGGAAACAGGAGTTATCTGCACGCTCTCCAAATACAGCCATCTTTTTAGGTGTACCGAGTAACGGAGGCCCAGTAAGGCTCCAATTATAATTCTGACTGAATTCTTCGTATCGTAGCAGGCTGAAAGCATGCACTCTTGAAAGAGAAAAGAAAAGTGGTTCCTTTACAACACCACCCAAAGACATGGCATAGGTGTGTTTACTGCGGCAATTTGGGGTGACAGAATTTGGGGTGCCTCACCTCACCGTTTCTTGGGTTTGAGAAGGTTAAATTTAATTAGAAACTGTTCTCTAGAGAAACACAGGCCACAACATAGCAACTTTTTCTCCTCTTTAAATTCTTAAACTTCTTAAAATTACCTGTACTTTATAGTCACGATTTTAAAATTCTACATTTATAATATGGAACAAAATACGAAAGAAACTATGCTTACAGAAACCTCATGTTGCCAGTCTTTGCAGTGGTCTTTAATTAATCAAGGAAATGATACCCCTGAGACTTGATCAACCTCCAATTTATTTAAAGCATAAATATTAAGTGCATTAAAAGCTTTCATTGTCTCAGCAGAAAATCACTGCCATTAAACAGATATTACACATTTGTAGCTTGCCCTCACCATCATTTTTCCTAAGGAATACAAGAAATAAGAGGACTTATCTGCGTAAACACAAACTGATAAAATATTTTTCTTAAGAAAACTGATGTTTCATTCCATTTAAAGTCTGTACTTCTTGATATATGATAAATATTATGCTTATTATAATTTCAGATTTTATTTGCATAGCTGTTGTACTGCTAGTTTAGACAGATTAACAATCATATATATACATATACATGGAAAATACCATGGTACCAAACAGAAGTGTTGTTTGATGATGAACTCTCCAAATGTACTACTGTGAACAGCCCATCTTAGATTCTTTACATTTTATAAAGCTGCATAATTTGAAATATTTGGGGCACCTGCTGTTGGGAAATATTGCCGGTTTTCGATTTTATACAAACAGCATAGTCTGCCATCTGTGCTGAAGTCCTGGGGTTTACAAAGCGTGAAAAAAGCCTGCTGTCCTAGGCCCTAACTTTTCTGCTGCTATAGAAAAAACAGAAATTTTAAAAAATAAAAAAGGGCAAAATGCTTAAAATCGAATGACCTGGATAATGATGCAGAAGCAGCGAAGGCACTGTCTTGTTTCTGCACAGTTGGTTCCTCCAATTTAAATATAAAAGCTCTCTGAAAAGTTAATTAACACCTCACAAAGGTGTTCTTGCATTGCCAAATGAGCAATGCCTGACTCTCTTGATCAACGGGAATTTTTAAGGAAATATAGTTGAGGAAGTGGGAAAGGGAAAGTCTCTTTCTTTGATCTGCTGAGAAAATTCATCCTGGAAAGTCTTGGTTCATTCATGTTCTATTTGGTGGGCCATAAAGCTTTGGATTGGGTTGGGCCAAACACAGACCAAGGCTCATCTATGCTGTGAGGGGGAGAAAGTAGCGGAAATAGCGGCCTACTGTAACAACCAGCGCTGATGAAAGATGCCACTGCAAGAGTGGTTTGACATTTATCGGCACATACAGCAATATACTAATACCTGCTATAAATTGAAAGAAGCATGCATTACTTAATGAACTTACCAGCCTGCGGATCTCTCTCTCACATTCCCGCTTTATTCTATTAATCTCATCCTGATGGGACTGATAAGCCGTGCGCAGGTCAGCAGCTTTCATTTTATCTGCCTGCATAATGTTGTTCAAAGCTTCTTCAAGCTGCTTTTTGCCAGATTTCAGCTCCAAGATCTCCTGTTGCAACTTCATCCGTTCACCGTCGAAGGCCTTGCGAGCCTCCTCCTTTGCTTCACTCAGCAGTGCCGTCTTCACTTTGTCAGCCGCCCCGTCCCGCAGGACATTGACTGTTGACTGCAAACGCTGAATTTCACCATCTTTGATTTTCACCATTCTCGCCACCTCCTGCTCGTGCTGCCGGATCAGTAGCTCTCTGACACTCTGAAGTTCCTTCATTTTCTCCTCGTGGAGCTTGGCTTTCAGTTCAGAAACATAGGCAGTGTGCTTATGCTGCTCCTGCTCCCTTTCTTGCTTAACCTCTTGGATTTTCTCTCTCAATTTACCCACCTGGAACATCAATATAAAATTTGATTAACAAGTGCTACCACACTTTTAAAAGTCTTCAAGGGAGCTTTTCCTAAAACATTATTATCCTGAATATTCAAAAGCCAAGACTGCATACCTGACGCTTCTCTCTCCAGTACACAACTGGAGAACCAGGGCCAGGAAAAGGCCACGTGTGTGTGCAGGAATCTGCTACAGAGATGTGCTATTGGCGACAAGTTCTCAGTAATAAAATAAAACCGCGCAGCATCCAATCTAGTTCTCTCCTTATCTCCTCCACCAACCTCCCCAGAGTACTCTCATCCCTAACCCCTCTACTGTGCCCTACAAGCAGATAGAAAACAAATCAGAGAGAAGAGTTTCTGTTTATGCTGGGAAGGAAACGCTAGAAAACTTTCTAGCATTTGAAGGACCATACTTCACGGATGCTCGTAGTGACTTAGATCTTCACATACGCTCAATTAAGTCATTCCCACAACATCCTTCTGTAGCTAAGCAGCACTATCACTGTTTTACAGATGGGATGCTCAGACAGGCATAGATTGATTTACCTAACTTATAAACATACTGTCTTTAGGATTTGAGTCCCAAATTCCTATACCCGAATCCACTACTTGACCTAAGATACTTCCTGCTAATCAGATGAGAAAGGATCTTGCCTTGAAGGAACAGAGAGAAGAGATCCTATCAACAAAGGGGCGTTCTTATCGGTAGGAACATGGGGAATAAAAACTAAATTAAAATGGCAGGGGGGAGAGAAAAAAAGACATTGATTTTTGATTTCTTAATTTCTTAGCTACTTTAATGGGAAAGTCCTTATTAGATAAGCCAAAAGAATTGGCCTTCTGAAAAATCAAGTCTACTCAAGGGGCCTCAGGCAGGACACCCCAAAACTGAGGCTATTCATAATCCCCAGACACTTCAGAAAATATAGGCCAGTGACTCTAAGGGTTGTGGGGAGAATAGGGGAAAGGTCTTATAGCCTATTATAGTAATACCCACTGTGATGAAACCTCATTATAAAATGATGCTCAGCAGGCTGCATGGAAAGCAATGCTTTTTCCAAGTGGGATTAGATATTAATTTAGAAAAAAGATAAAAAAAGAAAAAAATAAGGAGAAAGGCTTGCTTCTCTATTATAGTATACCAGAAAGGCTATAATGTATTTCATCAGTAACATCTTTCTGCTGTCCCTGTCACAGTGACTGCCAAAATATGAGCTCTATACACGTACTTCTCATCTAAAGTTCATCATGTGTAGTGTCAGGTTACTGACACTTTCTGCTGTCAGTCACTTTCTGCTGTCTTTCTGCTGTCCCTGTCACAGTGACTGCCAAAATATGAGCTCTATACACGTACTTCTCATCTAAAGCAAAGTCAGAGGCAGAGATTTCACAGACTTGTGTTTTAACCTTGAGTGACAATACAATCATACATACCAAACAGTGCTTCATGGCCAAAGGAGGCTACCAAGCAGCAGGATGTTAGTCACTGTCACGATATTCCTAGACTGCTTACATCTATGCTATACAAAGCTGGGACCTGTAGTCATACAATGCATTTAATTTATGCTAAACTAAGCCAGAATTGCAACTTGCCTCAGATTAGTTCAGAAAGGATGGGAGATCTCTATTAATATTCAGACTGTCATTTACTATGAAGGTATAATTAAAACAAATTATTTTTTGCATGGTTCTCGATTCTACAGTCCAAACAAAAGCAAAGGGTTAATTAAAAGCAATAACACTAGTTCAGGCAAGGCCCAGAAACCTTCATTATTTTGTTTATTGAAAGCAGGTTGGATCCAAACAGGTACTTTTGTGGGTTCGCTTTAGGAAAAATGGGACATCTTAACTCAAAAGCCTCAGATATAACTCATCCAATGAATCCAAGATTACTACTTAATTTAAGAGTGACTATAAAATGAGACTGACATGTTACTTATCGAACCCACAGCACTGACAGCAGGATTTCCAGAGTCTGAACTTCACCTGAAGTCTTCAGACAGCAGGGACAGCAAACTTTCCCTGTGCAGATGTTATGATCCTGTTTAACCAACTCAAATTTATCCTAGATTTAAACAAAATAAAATAAAAACAAAAAGGAAACAGGCTGAAGCAGGAGAGGGAGGGAAGGTATCTACATTTTCATGAAAGTAATCTTCTAGATACACTGTGGACTAAACACCAGCTGAGACAGCACTATAATTACAGCTGTGGAAAAAGTAACAGCTCTGAATCAGAAACCATCAGAAGCAGATTTTACTGCACAGATACTGTTACTCTACTCCAGGATGATTCAGATAACATATCTTTATGAAGGAAGATAGATCTTTTTCTTTTTTTTTTTTTTTTCCCCCGAGTCTGGCTATTGGAAATTATCTGCAGGAGAGATCCATGTGTTATTTCTTCTGGGGGGATGACATTTAGTTCCAAGCCTGTAGTGGATAGCACTGATTTTCAGTGTTTGGATTAGGGTACCCAATTCCATAGGAAAGTCTAAGACTCTCCCATCCCTCCCCATAGCATGGGGGTTGGACTAGATGATCTTTAAAGGTCCCTTCCAACCCAAACCATTCTATGATTCTACGACAAAGCTAAACCACTTATCCACCTATTTACTATTCCAAGTGGATGAGTTTATAGATAAATTTGCAAACGAACCACTTAAATCTATCAGTTATTTCCTTACTGGTGAGCAAAGAAAATTGAACTGAAACTGAGAAATGAAACCCAGTAAAGACAACACAGGAAAACAAACTGTATAATGGCATATGCAGGTGTGCTGGTTTTAACTGGGATCGTTAATTTTCTTCACAGTAGCTAGTATGGGGCTGTTTTGGATTTGTGCTGAAAACTGTTGATAACACAGGGATGTTTTCATTACTGCTGAGCAGGGCTTACACAGAGTCAAGGCCTTTTCTGCTCCTCACCCCACCCCACCAGTGAGCAGGCTGGGGGTGCACAAGAGGCTGGGAGGGGGGACAGCTGGGACAGCTGACCCCAGCTGACCAAAGGGATGTTCCATACCATATGACGTCATGCTCAGCATACAAAGCTGGGGGAAGAAGAAGGAAGGGGGGGACGTTTGGGGTTATGGCGTTTTGTCTTCCCAAGTAAGCATTATGTGTGATGGAGCCCTGCTTTCCTGGAAATGGCTGAACACCTGCCTGCCGATGGGAATGAGTGAATGAATTTCTTGTTTTGCTTTGCTTGCGTGCACGGCTTTTGCCTTACCTATTAAAATGTCTTTATCTCAACCCATGAGTCTTCTCACTTTTGCTTTTCCGATTCTCTCCCCCATCCCACCCAAGGGGGAGTGAGTGAGCGTCTGGGTGGGGCTTAGTTGCCAGCCACCACAACAACAAGCAAGGTTAACATACCTCCAGAACTACAGTAATTTAAAATTAGTCATACTGTACATAAAGCATGCAATTGAAAGGCAGTTTTCAATACAACACATTAATGAATGTGACTTCCTGAAAGGATTTTTAATATACGAGAAATGGATTCTGAAATCTGAGGATTCTGGATTTTGAGGAGTACTGAGTTACACAAAATGGCACACTTGCTGAATTTTTGTCATCTTTCACTGAATTAAGGGAAGGTAACATCTATATGCATTGCTGCTGTCTGTGACAACACATATTAAACCACACAGAATAACTGAATATTACCATATATCATCTAGTCATTTTACCTACAGAGTTTCACCAAGAGCAATGTAAATGAGAAGAACAAGAATCCTTCTAAAAGCCCTGGATTTTTGCACTGCATCTTAAATGCCTATCACTCCTCATGACCCAGTAAAAAAGATACATCCTAATTCTCAAGGTCTTTAAAAAGTCTTTTCTTGTTATTGCTTCTTGTCAGACAAGATGGAAAATTAGATCTGTCTGTTAGGTCTTCCCTGAAAGCCATAAGCTGTCCTTCCTGCATTCCCTCCATCCCTTTATCCCGCACACTATGCAGATCTGTACACGTCTGGCTTCCAGAGCAACTGGCTGAATGAAAATAGTAGTGTGGCATTTTCCCATATGCCTAAGACTCAGTTTCAAAATGAACTTAAACTTTAAATTAATTTGTCTTTTTTTAATTTCCAGCACACCTTTTTTTTTTTTTTTTTTTAAATGAAGAAAGCTGTTCTGTTCATAGGCAGAACATGAAGCATAACCAAGAAATGAAGCCAATAGGGAAACAAAGCCAGGCAGGATATCAGGGCACCAATAAAACAGGTATTTTCTGCCTTTCTAAATTAAATCTTTAATAATTGGTGCACATTGAGACAACATTATTGCCAAAGCAGAAGCTAGCTTCTTGGAAAAATAATGCCAAACGTCATTGCTTCTTCCCTTTCTTATATCTGAACAGTGCCTGAAAGAAGGATTTTCTTTAAAACAATACGATTATCGATTATATTATCATAGAATATTTGCATCTGGTGTTGCTTTCTTTGATAAGGTACTTTGCGCACTTGAGACAGAAATTTAATAGTTCAGTTTTATGAACTGGAGTCAATGACATAATTTTAAAATTGTGCATTTCCTAAAAGGCAGTAACCTATTAACTCACATATGTTTCCAAGTGCTACTGAACCACCACCCCAATAAAAATGTTATGATAAGAACTTACTAAGGACTACCTCATTTTTTTTTCTCTTGGATTTAAAAGCAGATATTTTTTATTTGTGGCACAATAGTCAATCATTTGGGGGCAGGAGGGATACTCTCCACACAGCTTTTTGCCAGGAACTCAGGTTACGGTAGGCAACTTATTGCCAACTGTGAAAAAGGCAGGTTACTAGGGGTGAGGCCAACAAACAAAGATGCTACTGTTTATTTTAAAAGTCAAGTGCAATAGCAACTTCCCTTCAACAAGAACAAAAGAAGCCTGTATGCTTTGCTTTTTCTAAAAAATATGTAAACTCTACTCCTATTTAAGCACGCTTATAGTGTGATCTAGTGTCCAGCCAACAGCATCCTTTCTATTAAAATTCCAGCGTGC